GTGTGTGTGTGTGTGTGCGTGTGTGTGTGTGTGTGTGTGTGAACTTACCAAAGTAAGTTGTTTGCAAATCATCAAAAGGTGGATGAATGGTAGCCTGCGCTTCTTCTCTTGCTCTTCTTTACACCTCTGTAAGACAGTGTAGGTGTGTCCTTTCCTTCCGTCTGTTGTGTCTGATGTCTGGTCCTTGCTTGCATTTATACTCCTTTGTGTTGGCGTGCTCAAATCATCCAGGTGATGTTAACGCCCACAGACGCATCAGGAACCCCCACCCCCGCCTTCCACCTTCGTGCACACCCTTTTACGCCTCACCAAAAACTTGTTTTGTCCACAACAGCCTGGCACCAATGGGCCATGCTGACCTTTGGAAGTTTTCTAAGGCCCGCAAGTTGCTCTAGATTCAAAGTTGGTGTTTTCCTGTTTGAACGGCAGCTTTTGTGCCGTTACGCTCGCTTTTGAGAAGTGAACCGAGCTAATGTTGACAGTGTAAATGCAAAGCCAGTATTTGCAGTGTCTATCAATGACTTTTGATTTCTGTGTCTCAATGTCAAATAGACTTAAACAAGGAGACTGTACGCACGCACATACGCTCAGTGGCATTCGTTGATACAATTTGAGGTAATTCAAATTCAGTTAGATGAAGGAGTATCTATTTTCAAATAATGTGCTTTACTTAACCCAACAGTTGTTATGACCATATTTTTGACAGGTTTGGTTAAACTGGGATCACTATTAACCTGAAGTCTGGACTTTCTTTCTAAATGCAAAACAGTTCTCTTTATTTGAAGCCATGTTTTTGTCTGTTTTCTTTTTATTCGCATATTGAAGTATTGTATTAGAAAAGGCCAAAGGATTTAGCAAAATTAAAAAAAACTCAGTTTTGCAAAATTGTTCCTATCCTTGGGTTGTTTTTTGATTTTTTAAAAAATATTTAATGCGCAGTAAGGGAGATGGAAACACATTCTCAAATCAAGTTCTGACACAGCAAACATTCCCACAAGTTGTGAATTGAGAGAGACAATAGGAGCTGTAAAATTGAAACCAGGCAGATACCTTTCAGGAACATGTCAGAAGCAAAATCAGATTTCTCAAAAAACAAACAAACAAACAAATAAACAAACAAACAAACAAATAAACAAATAAATAAATAAATAAATAAATAAATCTGCAGTATTAACAAACACACTGTTTAATGTTTGTTCTTGATATGGCATGTTAATTATTATTAAATTATTGTTGACTCAGATTCGACAAGGCTCATTTTTCTTATATTGTCTGTTTTTTATCAATCATCGCCATTGGTCAAGGAACCTTTATGAACATTGAAGATTAAGTTTGGATATTAAAGATTGAGGCAACATATTTTATTCATATCTAATTACATACACTACAATTTAAATCATTGATATGCAGGATGGTCTGTGATGGACTTGCAGCCTGTCCAGGGTGCACCCTGCCCCTCTCACTGTGACTGCTGGATATGGGCACCAGTGACCCCCAAGACCCTCAAAGGAAGAAGCGAGTATCGATAATGGATGGATGGATATATGCAGGATGATGTGGAAAACTAGAAGTCCATGTCAATTTATTTTTATWGCACACAAAAACAACAAAAGTTGACCAAAGTGCTTCACAATTCATCCAAATGAACAGATAAAACAACAACAAACAAATACAAAAAACACAAAATATTCTAAATTGTTGCAGTCAAATAACATATCACAATATTCTTGTTTAAATTTAGTTTTATACATATATACTGCTCAAAGAAACATTCATAAGCATTCCTTTGTCTTTTGTTGCATTTCTTTTGACCTGATGTGCATTTTTATTAGGGATGTGATGATGTAGAGTAATTGTATACATTTAGGTGTGTCTATAGATGAGTGTCTAGTGAGGGATGTTGTTAGTCTGTCAGTTAGCGTAATTTTTAAAAATAAAACTCCCAGAAAGTAATTATTAGTTGTAGACTCAGAACTGATTAACTTTGGGAGTCAGTTCATTTCAAGTTGGCCAGCTCAGCTAATCAGTCTTTGCCAACAAAGCAAACAGTACTCCAATGTCATCATTGGTGAGGGATTTGAGTAGTGAATATTTGTCGTTTTTGAGATGAGCATTTTTTCTAGACCAGAATTGAACAGGGAATGCTAATAAACCATAAAGTTCCTAGTGTAAGATATCCAAGTAGGATTAAAGTGTGTGTGTGTGTGTGTGTGTGTGTGTGTGTGTGTGTGTGTGTGTGTGTGTGTG